TTTGATGGGGAGGGGAGATCTGAAGCAGCCAAGTGTGGGGGGTCCCAGCATTAGCCCACCCTGGCCCCTGCCCTCCCCACCCCAGAGTGCTCTGTCTCTGCTGCAGGCAGGGAGGGAGGAAGAGGCTTTGGAGCCTTCATGAATAACCCCTCTGGGCAACGCCATTCTGGGGGGGGTGCTGCAGACACAAAGGGTGTGAAAACCCCCCGAGGGAGGCCGGAGCTTGGGGGTCAGGCCCTAGCTTCATTCCATGAGTCGGGGGCCAGCCTCCTTCCAGAGAGCACACTGTGGCTACACCCTCAAGCTGGGGGCACCTGGCCCATTCCCCAGCCCCGGGGAAGGAAGAAAGAAAATTACTAAGTTACTGTTGCACAGGCTCCTGTCTTCGGGACCAGTTCTCAGCCCACCTTCATCACCCACACCAGGGGCGGCCCCCTAGGGAGTGTGGGGGTGGCAGCCCTGGATCCAATGCCCCCTGCAACCTGTGTCCAGCCCCCCCCATCCCCTTGGCAGGTACATTAAGGGGGTGTTGACCATAGGGAACCTCCCCCAGTCTGCTCCTCCCCTTCACACTCCCTTGGAGGTAAAAGGACAGAACCCTGCTCAGACTCCTAGGCACCAGAGAGGAGGGAGGGGCAGCGAGGAAGGGGCAGCCGAGACAGCTTGGGGCCAGGCAGGGGTTTTTGGGTTTTTTCTTTGCCTGGTACACATTGCCCAGCTATGGGGACCTTCGACCTGTGGACGGATTACCTGGGTTTGGCACGTCTGGTTGGGGCTCTGCGTGGGGAAGAGGAGCCCAAGGCCAGGCTGGACCCCCAGCCAGAGCCAACACCAGGACCAGAGAGCCAGAAACCTAGCTCACCAGAATCCTCACCAGCTCCTGAACGCCTGTGCTCCTTCTGCAAACACAACGGCGAGTCCCGGGCCATCTACCAGTCTCACGTGCTGAAGGACGAGGCAGGCAGGGTGCTGTGCCCCATACTGCGTGACTACGTGTGTCCCCAGTGTGGTGCCACGCGGGAGCGCGCCCACACCCGACGCTTCTGTCCACTCACCGGCCAGGGCTACACCTCTGTCTACAGTTACACCACCCGAAACTCAGCGGGCAAGAGGCTGGCCCGGCCTGACAAGGCGAGAACCCAGGATGCTGGCCACCGCCGAGGAGGAGGAGCAGCGGGCACAGCAGCAGCAGCAGCAGCAGGTGGCTGGGAGCATGATGTGGAGGGGATGGGGGGGAACCCATCGTAGGCTCATAGTTGAACCCAGTGGGGGATTAACCACAGCACCCACCACCGGTGGAGGGGGCACCAGCTGTAGAGCTGAGGAGCAGCCTAGCAATGTTGCCAGAGTGGAGAAGTGGGAGCTGAGGTTTGCTGTGTGACCTTGGGCAAGTCACTCCCCTCTCTGGGCCCACCTGGGTAATAACATCCTTTTCCCAGGCGTGGGGTGGTCTGGCGGGGAGGTAGTGGGACCCAGTGGTGGTATCTGCCAGCAGGTACAGCAGGGGCCCTAATTCCACTTGGTGGAATTCGTGGTTTAGAAGTTGCATGGCCCAGGAACTTCCTCATTCGTTTATTCTCTGGCCAAATGGTGTGCTGGCCTGTTTGGTGCCAGGGGCCAGCAGTGGACAAGGTGGGTGGTAGAGTGGTGGTTAGAGCTGCATGCTGACTCTGGTGCGACCCAGCTGGGAGGGTCTGGAGGGCTTCCTGGGGGCAGTGCTTGGGCAGCCTGTTTCAGTTTGTTGGAAGGCTGGGAGGTGGCCTTGGGGCTCGGTCAGGGATTTGGTGAAGTTCAGGGTGTCTGAGGTGTGGCTGCATTGGTGGAGAGCTGGCAGAGCGCGCAGAGGGGCCCAGGGGTCTTTGGGAGTCAGGTTTGGGCTTGGGCACTGGGGAGCCACAGAAGGGGGAGGGCAGGTCTGAGTGGCGTGTGTTAGACTCTTGCCCAGGTTGGTGCCCCACAGCCCTTGGTGGGGGAGGGTGGGAGGCAACAGGTGGGGCCTCGTTTTGGATTTGCAGAGAGCAGCTCCTGGAGCTGAAGCTTGCCACATGGGGTGTGGGGTCTCCCCATCTCTGTTCATCAAACGCAGACCCCATCCCTTAGGTCTGGGTGGGGCCCAAACCCCTGTATTTCTAACTACCGCCCCAGACCAAGGCTTTCTCGAATTGTGCAGGCTGCAATGACAAAATGTCTCAGTTCCTGGGGTTTAAAGAGAACTCCCTTCTAGCAGCTTGAAATGCCTTCAGGGAAGCGGGCTTGCAAAGGAGGGCAGGTGCAATGGCTTTGGGTACCACCTCCCCCGCGGCCCCATGGACGTGAGCTCCTCTAGGGTGGAGGCTGGAACTCCATGACCCTTCCCCTCCCTCCAGCTCTGCAGGGTGTGAAAGATTGCCTCCAGGAGCGGATCCTATGCCCTGGGATATTTTGTTAGTTGAGTTTTTTGGTTTTTTTGTACCAACGATTGAACCTGGGGGTGCTTAACCACTGAGTCACGTCCCCAGCCCTTTTTCGTATTTTATTTAGAGACAGGGTTTTGCTGAGTTGCTTAGGACCTCGCTAAATTGCCGAGGCTGCCTTTGAACTTGCGATCCTCCTGCCTCAACCTCCCGAGCTGCTGGGATTACAGGCACCCGCCCGGCTGTTGGTTGGTTTTGTTTGTTCCGTTTCTGCTGCTGGGGATGGAACCCCAGGCCTCCCACGTGCCCACGCCGGCCTGCGCCCCACCCCTGAGCCACATCCCCAGCCCTCCTCCTGGGGTTGGGTGAGATCCCACTGGCAGAGACTGCACTATGAGGGTGCCTAGAAATGACAGTCTTGGGTTCTTCCTTTTTCTCCTTATATTTGAGGGGTAAAGGAAACCCGCCCCCGTCCCTGGGTGTGGAGGGTGAGCCCTGACCATCATACTGTCCAAAAAACTGTCCCAAGTTCCCCGGAGCCCGGCGGCCACGAGGTGGCAGGCAGTACGATCGCCGGAGCTGGAACTCGCGAGCTTTGGGTCGGGCTCTGGGACGGGGGCGGCCCTGGTCCAGGAATGTCACGGGGCTGCTGTCTCAGGAGCAGCCCCTAGGTGGCGCCGGAGCCCAGCAGCTCGCCGGGGTTACCTCGGGAGGACTGAATCATCCTCGCCCTTGACCTTCTCCCCCTCCCCCTCCGCTCTTAACCTCCAGGTCCCAAAGGTGCCGGGAAGTCTCCAGGATCTTCGCCTTCTGCCGGCTGTCCCTCCACTTCTGCCTAGGCGGCTGGCGCGGGGAGGACAGGGGTGCCGCCTTCTCCCGGGGATGGGGACGGAGGCTCCGTGGCCGCTGGACTCCAGGGAAGACCCTCTGAGGACCCCCCGCCCCCCTCCCCAAACCTAGGCTTGAGGACTTGGGGGGCAGCGGAGGGAACTGTTAAAATGGCTGGTCCCCTGAGCTCCCTCCTCCCGCGGGGACCAGCGGCTCTCTGTTGCACTGTCTCGGGGCTGGGCAGTCGGCGCTCAATAAATGTTTGCAAGAGATCAGCCGCCGGAGTCGCGGGAACTTTCTTGCTAAGATGATCCTGGACCCAGAGGGCTGGCGGCACCCCGTCCTCTCCAGGCTGCCTTATCAGCTCCAAGTGTCCCTGTGGCTCCCCACCACCCAACTGCTCTTTGGACTTTGGGTGGCCCCGGGGTGCTGGGGTGAGCTGCTTCAGGCTGAGAAGTGGGTGGGGGGCAGGGGCAGCTGTGGTCCCGTTCACCTGCTCCTTACCAGCGCAGGTCCTTTTGGTTTGGTCACACTCCCTGGCTACCCCTCCATGTTGACATGTGAAGCGGGGGCTCCCCCTTCTAGTAGAGATGGAGGCTAGATTTAAGAGGGAACTGAGACAATTAGGCCAGGCCTCCCCCCTTGCCTTCACTAAGGAGCCCCTCAGGGAATGTTGACATTGGTGCCCTCGTGAGGAGCCATGGTGCCACCATACTGGACAGCTCAGTGCCTAGGGACACGGAGCTGGCAGGGGCGGTATCTGGGAAGGGATCAGGCCAGTGGGGGTCTTGGCCCCGAGGGTGGGAGGGAGATCAGCTAGTCTCCTGGGGGCCACTCTTTGGGGGTCACCCATTGCCTCCTCTAGCTGCGCGGGTCCTGCCGGGCAGTGGCAGCAGTGGGGTCCAGCTGACTGTCCCGTCGGGGCTCCAGCCTCGGCTCAGTCTCCAGAGTTGGGGTGGGAGCAGGAATTGGACTTGGAGGGCCTCCTGCCCTGGGCTTTGGAACTTGAACAGGGACCTAAAGCCACCCAGGAAGCGGCCTGGGTGCCAACTTGCAGGGGAGAGGAGGTGGTGGGAAGGAGGAGGAGCACAGAGGAGGGCTCCTTAGTGACCCTAGGGCCTGTGAGGGATTTGGGGAGATGACACCCGGCGGCTACAAGTAGACTGTTGGCCTCCCAACCTGAGCCGCTGAGGCCCGAGACCCAGGGCCTGGCAGGGCAGGGGGGCCCTGGGGGGGGCTCAGGAGTGACGCTGCACATCTGGCAGGTGCAGAGCGCCCTCCTGCAGTGGGCCTCCATGGCCACCGTGGGGGGTGGGGTGGGGAGGGAGGCCTCCCTGGCCAAGGAACCACAGGGAGAGGGGACTGGAGTCAGGTGCTCAACGTGCCTGAGGGAGCCAGCCAGCCACCCACATGGCTTTCTGTAAACGGGATGATGGCCTCTTGAGGGCGGCCTGCAACTGAGTTTGCATCAGCTTCCTGGCTGGCTCTGGAAGCATATTGTCCCAGGCCGGGTAGGCAGCCTCACCCCAGTGGGGTGATCTGCCACCTGGGGGAGGTTTGCGCAGGTGACACTGAATGCACACACAACCAATTCTCCCAGAGACTCGGACTCTGACCCGTGGAAGCCCTTGGGGATCCCCTGACCTGTGTCCCACCAGCAGCGCCCCCCACCCCACCTTCACTGGGAGGCAGGGGAGGGGGTGAGGGGCAGCAGTGCTAGAGGCTGGAGGGCGGCTGTCAAGGGACGGGAAATGCCTCCCCCAGCCGCAGGTCAGGAGGTGCATGAAAGGATCGTTTATTACTGGTCTTCCCAGAAGAAATAAAATGGAAATTGGGGGAAAGACTAAGATACAAACAACAAAGGGAGCCCTTCTCTCCTCCAGAAGGAAGCAAACTCTGAACTACAGCAACCTTGGGGAAGGAACTTGAATTTGCAAACCCAGATAAACATCGAGGCCCGGGGTCTGGGCCCTGCTCGGAGGGCCACTTCTGTCGGGCTTCCGGCTTCCAGGAAGGCACAGCTGCCCTCCCTGTGGCCGCACAGTGGTGCTTCCTGGCTCGGGCTGCAGGGAGCTGCTGGGGCGCCTCAGGACCCCTTGGATGGAACCCTTGGACAATCTCACAAGCAAACAACATCAGGTGGCGGGTGGGGGGGCCTGCAGGTGGCCCACAGCAGACTGCTTGCAGCTCTCCAGCAGGTGACCAGGGTGCATAGGGAGCCTCTGGGCGCTCAGGCAGTGGCCTACAGGTCCCTCCAGGCTTGCTCCCCCCGGGAAAGGCTCTCCTTGGGTGGGTAGAGAGAGGGGGCCTTCCCTGGTGGCTTCGCCTTCCGGGAGTGGAGGCGCCTGAAGGCTTCCAGGTCTCGGTGGGCGCTCATGATCAGTCGGCTGCAGCAGAAACAGGGTAAGCTGGGGCACTAGTGGTCACCATGGGATGGGGTCCCTGCCCAGAGGCACACATGCAGATGGCCCCTCGTGGTGCACGTGTACTACGCTGACACTGGGACCAGACTAAGCAGCAGAGGGACTGTTGGCCCCTCCTCCTGAGGTCGGGGTTCCGGGGCCCAGATGGAGAGGGCCGGCCAGGCGAGTGTCCCCTAGCCTTGCTGCCCGCCGGAGGCTCCTGCCTCAGTTCCTCCCTGCTCCCGGGTCCTCCCACCCAGCTCCGAGCCTTACTTGAGGTTGGAGAGCTCTACCACCAGGCCCTGCACGGTTCCTGTGGCATCCTCCATCCTGGGCGCCTCTGGGGCCTGGACTCCCACGCCGGGCCTGTCAGCAAGGTGGAGAGAGGAACAGCCTGGAGGGGCGTGCTGGACCCACTGTCCTCACCCTGTCTGTCTGTCTGCTCGCAGGCAGAGCCTGGTGGCCATGGCCAGCTCCATCACCAGAAGCGGGCTGCCCCAGCCGCTCCTCCCCTGTCACCATCCCCTCGGATGGAGCCTGGGCAGCTGCCACTGCCCCTCCTGGCCCCCGAGCTGGTCCCTACAGCTCATCCACCTGCAGCTCAAGGGGGCTGTGGAGATGTCCCTCCCGCTGCCCGCATGACCCCCACCTCCTAGACCCTGTTTCCTCCCGGGTCTCTGCTCCAGCCACGGGGACTCCCGGGCACTGCCTGAGCACTCCTGGGACCACGGGCAGTCTCGCTGAGTTGTCGCTACAGCTGACCGTGACCCCTTCCCGCAGCCTTTTTCTCCCCAGCCCTCTGCCGTCTGCCTCTCTTGCTCTGTCCCCTCTCCAGGGCTCAGGGCAGTTCTGGAAGGGCCAGCCCTGGGGGACACCCATGTCTGCAGGGGATGGACGCGCCACAGTACCCACCAGATATGAGGCTTTGGCCTGTAGATGTGGCAGGACAAGAGGACCAGGCAGAGAAGTGGGGGCCTCCCTGGGTGGCTGGGGTGGCCCTGTTGGCCTCAGGTCAACTGCTCTCAGGCCTCAAGCCTCCACCCCCAGGCTTGGTCACACCTGCCCCAGTCACACCAAGGTGCCCTGCGTCTTAGCCTTTCTCAGGTCTCGTCAGGCTTGGGCCACCAACCAGACCCCAGGGCCCTCTCTGGGGGCTTCTGGACATCCCTGAGCAGGTGAGGCTGCTGGGAGAATCAGACATGAAATCTCCCTCCTCCTGCTCTCCCACTGGGGCCACTGTGACCAAACAACCTCCGGTCCACCCCAGGTGTCGTGTGGGTGCTGTCAACAAGTGGCCCGAGAGGCACAGAGTCTACAGGGCAAGAGGCCGGAACCTGCCACCCCACCCTGCTGCAGGAGGGAGAGGGAGAAGAGGAGGCAGAGGAGGAGGTCAGGCGGGGGTGGGGTTGGGGGAGCAGAGGAGAGAGATGGAAGGAGGAGGATAGAAAAGGAAAAGGCGGCAGATAGGCAAGGCCCAGGGCTGCACCGTGACCCTCCCTCCACGCTCACCAGAGAGAACCAGAAACTCGGCCATAAATAATTGACAGCTCTGCCCAGAGGCAGGTTCGAGTGCAGGGTAACAGGAGAGGATGGCCGCAGACAGGGCGGTGGGGGTGGGGACCAGCACTCTGCTGGCTGGAGGGACATCACTATGGTCTGCAGCATGGGGTGCCCCCAGGTGGAGTCACTGGAGGGCCTGCCCAGTGCCAGGGCTGGGAACAGTCCCAAGTCTCGGCTCACAGTCCCCAGCCTGCCCCGGTTCTCCCCACCATAAGGGACACGGAGAGCTCGTGCCCCTCTCCCGGGGACCCGCGTGCACGTGGGTCAGAACAACCCACAGACCCGGAGGCCTGTGCAGGGGCCCGGGACCCTGGGGTCCCAGGGAGAGGGGCTGGATCAGATGCAGACTCCTGGCCACCGTTCGCCGCTCTGGGGGAGCAGGTGACACAAGCAGTTTGAAGGATGGGGCTCCCTTTTGGAGGGAGGGTGGGAGACCCAGCAAGGGCGGTCAGGGCCCTGCCTGTGGCCCTCCCTGGCCCAGCCAGACCCTGGGTCGTGCACACCCCCATGCCTACCTCGGCTGGACCTGAGCCACCATGACAAGGTCTCCCCTGGCCCGTGGGCTGGGGTCGGGCCAGCAGAGGCCTGACTCACTCCCTGCAGGAGAAACCTGGAAGGAGAGAGCAACATGTGAAGGACAGCCCGGCGTGGGGACAAGAGTCACACTGGGACCTAGGCTTGGCCTCAGCCTGCTGGGGTCACCACGGCTGGCTGGGCCTCCTGCAAAGGACAGGTGGCAGCAGGGGACACAGCCAGCCCAGCCTTCCTGTCCTGTTGGGTGTGGTGGCACTCCACTAAGGGCACCCTCGTCCCTGACAACTGCACACATCCTGTGTGTCCCGAAACTTTAAAGGCCACAAGTCATGCAGGAACACGGAGGCACCTCAGTGGCTGCAGGAGCCACGTGCACCCTATTGAGACAAGATGTTGCCACGTGTCTCCAGGGAAAAGTCCTTGGGAGTAGGGGGGAAAGCCAGGCAGCCCGGGAGGCCTAGGGATGGAAACGGCAATGGCAGTTTAGTTTTTGTGGAAATGTCAACCACCTCGAGGTGACATGTTCCCCCAAGGGGAGGCAAAGCGGCTGAGGTTTGGAGTTTGAAACCTATGTCCCTGCTGGCAACCTCCACGAGTCCCCTCCTCTGACAAAAGGTGTGTGTCCACCCCACCCCGCAGCTCTCTCCAGGAGTCTTCGCTCTGTCCCCAGGTGCCCCTGCCCATGCCAGGAAGCACGGCCTCTGCCTTCCCGCCGCGGGCCATCCACGTCCCTCCCATGGGAACCTGCTTGGTGGCTGGGTCGCCCTGACTTGCTGGGGAACGCCCTGTGTCAAACCAAACATGCCCAGGCATCGGGCAGCCCTGTTAGGGCAGCACGTCCTCCTGGGCTGGCACTGCTGCCGAGTCTGACCATTCTGGCTGTCTGCCCGGTCCCCACAATCCTGCTGGGTTTTTTCCTCTTTTTTTCCCCCGGGGCTGGGGACAGAACCCAGGGCACCGCACACGTGCTCCACCACTGCACACCCACCCCTCAGCTCCTCCTCAGCCTGTGCTGTGCTCTGCCCGTGTCTCCTGAGAACCCTCCTTACGCGCCCAACGGCCCAGGACAGAAAGCTCGCCACAGGGGTGCCACCCGGAATCGGGCTGCTGTGTCCTGCGGGGCAGGGACCAGGCTGCTCGGTGGCTGCGGGCGCCCCAGCACCGAGCAGGTGCTTCCTGACAGACACTGAAGGAAGCTTTGGAAACATCTCGATAGGGGTTGGGGTGCAACTCAGGCGGGGAGCCCTTCCTAGCGTGCCCGAGACCCCGGGTCCCATCCCCGCCACAGAGAAAGATAAAGAAGAAGCTCTTCTCGGTCAGCCAAGAAGCACACTGGCCCACACTCCAGGACAAGTGCCGAAGCGCAGTGTTAGAATTAGGTAGACCCAGATGCCACCCCGGGCCCCTCCCCTCCAGGCTGTGTCACCTCCGGGAGGTGCTCAACCTCCTTGGCCTCTGTGCTGCACACAGGGTGTGGGAAGAGAACTGCCCACCTCCCAGGGAGTGGCCATGGCTCTTGGCTGGGCTCGGGGGTGCCAGCAGCCGGGGATGCTGCCCTTCCCCCCAAGAGGGCAGGGCTGAGCAAGGCAGCCACCTGCCCAGGCAGGTGACCATAAATGGCTGGCACAGGATCAGCAGCCAGAGGAAGCACAGCCCTTCCCAAAACTCCAGCAGAAAACACAGTAACTGTGCATTTTGAAAAGAATCCCATCAAGACCCTCAGGTGACCCTGCAAAGGGGCAAGGACTCTTCTAGTTCAGGAGTGAAGTCCCCTCCCCAGGGTCAGCTATGAGGTGGGCCAGGCCCTGGCATCTTCAGGTCGCCCTCTTGGTCCACTGCCCTCAGTGAGCTCCCTGGGAGCCAGGAGCCAGGGGCAGGTGCTGGAAGGTGGGGTGGGTGGGCACGAAGCTGCCAGGGCCTAGCCCACCTGGAGCTCCTGTTCAGGTGGGGGACCCCAGGCTGACAAAGTGCCTGTCTGTCACCATCCTGGGACCCCTCCCAGAACGGCAGTCCTGCCCATCTGGAAAACCGCAGGCACCACAGCCACGACTCAGACCCCCCCTCCCCCATTCCTTTACCAGGTCACGTGGAAGGCCACCATGAGCCCCCACCCCCTGCGTGGCCCTTGCTCTGGAATGGTCTGTCGACAACAGGGAAGTCCTTACCTGCTCAGGTGGGGCTTCGAAGCCGGCGCCCTCCAGGGCCTCCCGTATCTGGCTGTCGGGCAGAAAGCCCAGCTCCAGGTCTGAGGAAGTGGGGGGGTGCTGGGGCTGGCCTGCTGCTTCTGCAGAGGGCTCCGGGCTGCCCAGGGGGACTCCGGTCTCTGGGGGAGGGCCACCCACTGTGTCTCTGAGCTCCAGCAGACCAGAGGCTCCGGGGCACAGACTGAGCTCCTTCAGAACTTGTTCACGGCCCTGGCTGCCTAACCCCGCTGCCCGTCTGTCCACGGGCTGTGTGCACATCCGTCCTGGCCCCTCTTGGACAGGGCTGGGCCTCGGTACCTGACCCACATCTGGACCCATCTCCAGGGCTAGATGGCCAGAATCCTTAGCACCCACTGAGGGCGTTTGGTTCCCAGAAGCTGGAGCCAGGAATCCTAGAGGGCTCGATGGCATGTCACCCTGGGGACCACCCTCCAGCCCCAGGTCTCCTCTGCCTGCTGTGGTGTCTTCAGCAAGAGGCGCACAGTCCAGCTCGGCCGCACTGCAGCCTCTGCCAGGGGCCTGCCTGCTGGGGAAGGCCTGCCCACCTGGCCTGGCCACCTCTGGGGTTCTCTGGTCCATCTCAGTGGGGTCCGCGCTCAAGGAAGTGCATCCTGGGCTGCTGTGGCTCTGCCCTGCTTCCCCACCTGACCCTCCGGGTATCTGCCTGGGGTCAGGGAGGTCCTGGCCCACGTTCCAGGTTTTCAGGTGTGGAGTGGTCAGGCTCAGCTCCTGAGCAAGGCCCACGGCAGGAGCGGGTGCTGCAGTGTGGGGGCGGCTGGCTCCCTCATCCCTGGGCACCCAGGGCAGCTCAGCCCCTGACCCGCCCTGGGCCCCTCCCCCCCGGGGGGCTCCTCTGTCTGGCCCCTGCCCTCCAGCATCACTGCCTGGCAGGTGCCCTTTCTGGCCACGATCGCCTAGAACCCAAGCCATCTCTGCCTCAGGCCTTCTGTTCCCCAGGTTTCCACCGGCCATCATGCTGTTGCTTTGCTCCAACAGGCGGTTCTGACTGGCTCTCTCTGGGTGGGAGGGCCCGGTCCCCACTTCTGGAGAGAACAGGGGCTGGGAATCCCCCCTGCCAGGTACAGGTGTCTCGAGGTTCTGGCCACTCTGCTCAGAGCAGGGGCTGTCTGCCTGTGTCTGCTCTCCAGGTCCCCTGGCCTCCTGGAGAGCGAGCCCCAGAGACTCCTGCAGCAGCAGGCTCCCCGCCTGCTGGGCACTGGGCACTGGCAGTGTGTCCTGTGGGGAGAGAGAGAGTCAGCCACTGGGCCTTCGATCATCAAGCACTTTGAAGGTCCTTCTAGTTGTTACCACCCGTCCAAGGACTCGGACACTGTACCCACCACCGTGTACCACCCCAGGCACCAGTACCAGGGCAGGGCAGAACCTGGAGCTGGGGCCTGGAGAGGGAACCGAGCACAGAAGCCTCCCCTCCCACCAGCCCTTCTCCTGGCCTGCGCCGATGGGGAGATCAGGGATAGAAACATCCAGGGGGCAGGGCCTGGGAGCACAGCCTTTGCCTACGGTGCACAAGGCCCTGGGTTCCACCCTAGCACCACAAAAAATAAGCAATTTTAAAAGGACTGATTACATATTGAAATAACAGTATTTTGGACCTACCAGCTTAAATAAAATATATCATTAAAATACATAAATTCTGGTAAAACACACGTGACGTTTCCCTGTTAGCCTTTACCACACACCTTCAATTCACAGTGCTGGGATGGAGCCCAGTTTCCCCCACGGTAACCTCTTACATCACTCAAGGACAACAGCACTGCGCAGGCACTGATGTGGAGAAGACCCCCGGGCACCGTCTCCCCGGTGGTCTGGCTGGCGTCTGTGTGTGTGGTCAGCTCTATACGGCGCTCTCACTCATGGAGATCTGCGTGTCAACAGACTGAACACGCCTCACATCATCATGGGGACCCCTCTATACCAGCTGCTCCCCTCCCCCCGACTCTGCCCATTCTCTCTGATCCCTGGCAACCACTAATCTGACCTGCACCCCTACAATCTCCTTTTTGCTGTTATTGCTGGTCCTGGGCACTGGACGGAGGGCAGTTTACCACTGAGCTACATCCCTGGTCCTTGTTGTTTTTTATTGTTGTTGAAGGTTTTGCTCAGTTGCTGAGGCTGACTCTGAACTTGCGATCCTCTGCCCTCAGTCTCCCAAGTTGCTGGGACTGCAGGCATGTGCCACGGTGCCCAGCTAAAATCTTTTTAAAAATTTTTTTGCAGGGTTAGGGATAGAAACCAAGGTCCCTCACGTGCTAGGCAAGTGCTCTGCCGCCAAGCCACACCCCAGCCCCACCTCTGTAATTTTGTCATTTTAATAATGTCTACAAACGGATGCCTACCACATACAACCTTCTAAGGTCGGCTTTTTACACTCCGCCTGACACCCCAGAAGTCTATCCAAGTTGTTCAATGTGTCACTATTTAACTTGGTCCTCTTATTGCCAGTCATGGTCTAGGAAGGATCCCTCCACTGAAGATTATCTGGGGTGTCCCCAGTTTGGGCCAATGACAAACAGCTGCTGTGAGTGCCCACTATCCACTTTTTCAGGGGCATGTGTTCCCAGAGATATTGTCACACACAGAATTCATGACAGCAAGAACAACTGTAAGACCCCTGAGCAGCAGAGGGCTTTGGGGCAGCGTGGGCTGCTCTTCTGGGTTTTTCTGTCCCACCCAACCTGGGGAAGAGGCTCTGGCCTCCACACCCATGGTGCAGGCACTGCTGTCCTGCCTCCAGAAGGCCTCAGACTGCCAGCTGTGTCCGTCATACATCTGGGGCACGATGCACTGAACGCTGGAGCAGAGAGGCGGACTAGTCACTGCCAACCGATTGATAGACCCAACCTGATCTTTTCTTAAAATTGGGAGCAATCTCGCCACAAAGCCATGAAAAGATAATTTCGGCTTTACTATAAATTACTGCAAATTCTGAACCTGCTTGGAATGCCTGCCTGTGCCTTGAACTCACCCATGCCTGGCTCTCTGACCAGATAGCAGCCCTCTCTAAACTTTAGTGACGCCTCCCAAATCTTGGCCTTCCCTGGCCAGATACCGACCCTCTCTGAGGCTCTAATGACCTTCAAAAATTCTGACGTTAGGGCCAGCAAAAAATGTAAACTACCATTAGTGTGATGCTCGTCAGAGTTCTGTTATCTGTAACGCCCCCTTTCTGGGCTATAAAGCTGGGGTGCAGGAAAGCTGGGGGGCTGTCTTGTTCCCACCGTTTTGGGAGGGAGAGGCAGCCCGGCCGGTCGAAATAATAAGCTTGCTTTAATTTGATTTTAATTGGAGTCAGTGGTCTTATCTTGCGTCCTGGTTTAACTCGAATATCAAGGTTAAAGTGCGCCAAGAGGCTGCACTGGAAGCTGGGCGGTGGCACAGGCCTGTAATCCTACTACCCAGGAGGCTAAGGCAGGAGGATGGCAAGTTCGAGGTCAGCCTGGGAACCCCGTAAGACCCTGTCCCACGAGGAGGATGTAGCCCTGTGGTGGACTTTCCGAGCACGTGCAAGGCCCTGGGCTCAAGCCCTAGTTTGGCAAAACAACAGTAACAGAGGCCACCCGGGTGCGGAGCGCTGCCTGGTGATCTTCAGGGGCTTACCGAGCTCACGGCCCCGTTTTCAGGGTCCTCTTCCCTTGTTTCTGCTTTTCTTGTCCCTGTTTTCCTGGGTTTTGCAAACTGGGGGACAAATCTTCCGACTGAGTTCTGTAAATCAGACACAAGCAGCAGCAATAAAGGAAAATGAGGTCTCAAAAGAAAAGCAACCCCAACCCGTTCCTTTCTTGCGGCTTCAAACGTGGCTCCCGCCCTCCTTCCCTCCAGCCCAGGGGGCCATGAGCAGCTGCTGACGCTGGCTAAGTGCTTAAGGAGGGTCTCGCACACACAGGAAACCATAAAAGAGGCTCACCTGGGAAGGAGGAAGGGGAATCGGCTCCTTTTCTGGCTGCCCGAGGAGCCTGGAGGCAGCTCCTGTTTCCTCATGTGGGGAGCTGAGCGGAGAAAGACAAAATGGAGGAGGACGTCCTTCTCCAGGACTGTCACTTCGCACAGTAAGACAAAGGGCCCAGAAAAGTGGTGCCCAGAGCCTCCCAGAACAGAGGCCCCGGAACACCTGCTTTAAAAGAATGCAATGAAGCCAGGTGCCATGGTGCCTGCCTGCAAGCCCAGCTACTTGGGAGGCCCAGACAGGAGTATCCTGAGTTCAAAGCCAGCCTGGGCAACTTAGCAAGATCCTGTCTCAAAGAAAGAAAAACAATAATAATAATAAAGGACGGGATGGAGGAGGGAACAAATGGTATAGAAATATGGTCTATACACACAACAGAATATTATCCAGTCATAAAAAGTCGCAGCATGGACAGACTGGAGGACACCAAGTTAAGTGGGATAAGCGAGGCACAGACAGTGCTGCAGGGCATCACACTGACAGCTGAGAACAGTGGCCTCCTAAAGTGGAGGGTAGCAGGGTGGTCACCAGGACCTGGGAGGGATGAGGGGAAGGTGGGCAGGGGAGGGCTAATGGGCACGGGGTGCGGAACGACAGAAGGAACCTGAGCCACCCCAGCCCCAGGGAGGAGTGGCTCTAGGGCTCTGTAGCACAGTGGGAGGTGGCTGGGGCCGATGGCCATCAGTTGTGTATTTCAACCCAGCGAGGACAGGATTCTGAGTGTTCCTAACACAAAGAAAATGACGTCTGGGTGACGATACGCGAATGATGCTGATCTGAGGACACCGTACCCACGGCCTGCAACACCACACTGTGCCTGATTATATAATTTAAAATTTCAGAAAATAGCTTTCAGGGTCTGCGGGGGGATGGAGCCCAGTGATACAATACTTGTCCAGCACATGTGAGGGTTTTATCCTCAGTACCACACAGAAGAAAGGAAGGACGGACGGGAGGGAGGAAGGGAGGAAGGGAGGGAAAAAAGAGAAGAAATTTAAATTTGGGAGGTGTTCTGGCAAGATTTCCCTTCTCCACACAGTCTTCCTTTTTTCTTTAGTGGAGCCGGGGATTGAACCCAGGGCCTCGCACGTGTTAGGCAAGCACTTTACCACTGAGCCCAGCCCGGCCTCGCATAGCTACTTTAAGCTGTTTGTTTTATGCAGTTCTATTCTGTGTATTTTCCAGTGCATGTGAAACCTTTTTAAAAATACATTAAAAAGGGCTGCAGTTGCATGTAGCTCAGTAGTAAATATACACATATATATTTTTAAAATATATACGCACATATTTAGCTGGCCACAGCCTTGCTTCTCCTGACTGCAGTCTGCCCTTCCTGCGCTGCCGTCCTCCCAGGTACAGTGCTCTGGGGTCTCCAGTCAGGGATTCAGCCAGTCATGGATTGAGAATATCAAGAAAAATCTGTGTTTACACTGAACACGTACAAACATCTTCTTGTCATTAATTCCCGAACAGCCACAGCGCAGTCTAGCAACTGTTCACATAAAGCACTGTATCAGGTATGAAGAGTCCCAGGGAGATGACTGAAAGTCTACGGGAGGATGTGCTGAGGTGCCATGTTACACAAGGGACTGGAGACTCACTGATCTGGTATCTACCAAGGCCCTGGAACCAATTCCCCGTGGACCCCACGTGACGATTGCACGTGGATCAGTCCCATGGACGGACGAGGCTGTTCGTGAGCTGTTTCTTTTCTTTTCTCTTCCCCCACCAGCTTCTGTCATTGTTGAAAACATACGGGGACCAAAAATCCATAATGGTTACGAGCACAGGAACCAGCCCCAGCCAGACTCCCAGTCACCCAGCTCCAGCCCAAGGGCCGCGGGCCAGTCACACCGTCTCCCTCGGCTCTCAGGGACCTCACCTGGGAGCTGGGGACAAAGCGCTTGTTAGCCACTGGCCGTTACTGACTGTTTTACTAGTTAGCACAGCACAGACCAAGGGCCACCCTTTTCTTTCTTTTTTTTTTTTGTTTCGTTTTTGTGGTTCTGAGGATGCAACCCAAGGGCGTCCACCTTGAACTACATCCCAGTCCTTCTTATTTTGAGACAGGGTTTCGCTACGCTGCCCAGGCTGGCCTAGAACCCATGACCCCCTGCCTCAGCCTCATGAAGCGGGGATCACAGGCGAGCACGCTGCACCCAGCTCCCAACCTTCTCAATCAGGGAGGACGAATACAGAACAGGGATCTGACCCCGTGCAGAACACCACATTGCCTTCCATGACCTGCACAATTTAACCCTACCTGTCCCCACGGTGGAAACAGCAGCTCTCCTCACCAGTGAGGACAGCTAACGGCAGCAAGATCCCATGGCCCTGAGCTCCGGGAGGGCTCACGGCATGGACAGGTCACCCTGGCCCACTCCCCTGTGCGTCCTTGTCCATGGGGCTGCTCTGCGGTCCAGTGGCAGTGGGGAAGCCTGATGGCCTGTTCCAACCACCTACCTGGAGACAGCCCCTCCTGGCTCCTCCCCGGTCAACTCTGTAAAGGCCACAGGTCCTGAGCTGTCTTCTGACTCTTCAGGGTGGTGCAAATGGCCCGAGTCGGGACTCTCCGGGCCCCCCTTAGAGTGCCCCAGCCTTGGGTTCTTTTGGGGTTTGGGAGGACGGACTCCTTCTCCTGGTTTAGAGACAGAGGGAGATGGAGGGGTGGGGATGTTGGAGCACGCACTGCCATGGCTGAAGAACCACCCGGCAGGGTCACTGCCGCACTGGGAGCCACCAGGCTTATCCTGAGGGCATGAAGCCCCTGCTCTGACGCTGCTACCCAGTGAGAGGAGATGCAACCTGTCCCGGAGACCCACTCCCATTCACAGCCACGGGGCTTCTGACCAATGGCCTGGTCTGTCTCCAAACCACGTGGGACTACCTCACCAGACACCCCTCTCTCCAGGGAAGAGGTGAGAGGCTATGTGGCAGGTCCCACTGCAGAGGGGCTGTCCCTCACTTCTTAGAGCCTTCCCTGTCCAGCCCATGGCCCTCTCCTATTCGCTTGGTGGCTTTTCTGGAAGTATTTGAGACTTGAGGTCATCTCCTGTCTCCCCCACTTCGATTGGGCTGCATGTGAGAAGAGGCCCTGTCTCGCTCTTTTCCCAAGTGACTAGAGGATGTCTTGGACACTGTTGGTGCTCAATAAATGCATAGAAGACCAAATAAGTACATGTAGAAAACATCCATCACCAGACGCAGATAAGACTAAGTCACGGACCACGTTTTCCTAGAGTCACCTGCAGAATATCTGTCCTAGGAAACATAGGACTGAGGGGTAGAGGGTGCAGGAGGACACCTCTTAGTCCCTTTGGCCATCTCTTAGTCCCTTGTACCTCTGCATTCCTTTCCCCATCACTAAAGGCAACTGGGCTAGGTCCTTTTCTTGCTCTTGACAGTCTGAGTTCTTGTCAATATCAGTTAAAGAAACCCCCTTTACACAGAAACTGCCAATCACAGCTTGCCTGTGAGGCCTCCCCTCTCCTAGGCCCATCCCAATCCTGTGTTCAACGAACAAGTGTAGATGCTATGGAATTCCACACCAGACGCTGTCCTAAGAACTTGTGTGTTGAGACTTCGATGTAGGGGACCTCAGTAATTCCAGGGATTACTGGTCTTACAATCTTACCGATGAGAAAGTCGAGGCCAAGGAACCAAGACTGGATGCAGTCCAGCTCTGCAGCCTGCACACTGGAGGCCCGAGCACTTAGGGGGCACCATATGGACTGGGCTCTGACCCATCAGGGAGAGCCAAGAGACAAAGCAAACCCAGGTATCGCTTTCCTGAGTTCAATCAGATAGGTTCTCCACAAAATCAGCTCCACCCCCCCACACACATCTGGAAGAAGCCCATAAATGAGTCCCCCACCCGACGCCCACAGCTAGGGTCCTCACAGTCCCTCACCAGCTCTTTGTGCTCCCCTAAACCCCAGTAACTCTCCAGGAATTTTTTTCCCAGTGAGGGGATGGAACCCAGGGCCTTGCATGTGCTAGGAAGTGCTCACCACTGGCCCCCCCCCCAGCCCCCCCTGTGGTAACCTCTCCTCCCTCTGGCTGCTGTGGTTCCTGAGCCCGTGGAGAACTCCATCCATCTGCTGTGTGTGACCAGCTCTCTCCATGAGAAGCATTTCCCTTTCCCCTGACTGGCCCCGGAGGGTCCCCAGGGCTGGAACAGATCTGTAGTACCCTCGGATCTCATCCTTGCCTCATCCGGCCCCCATCAGGTGCCCACCGCAGTGAACTATGAGCCACCAGGAAGCTTCCTACAGATGTTTCTTATACAAACACGTACCCACCTGTGGTCTGCCAGAGAAGGAAAGGGGGGAAAAAGAAGAAAGAAAGAAAGCAGCTTTGTTTATTTGGTTCCTTAAGACTGATTCCCAAACATTAGCTCGTTTGGCTGATTCAATGGACATTTGTACCAAATAAAAAGCAAAAACATCAACAGAAGAGCAGAGCCTCCCATTTCCTTCCTGTGGTCTGTCCCCGTGGGACTAATTCAAGATAAAATAAGGCAGAACCTTGTGTTCACTACCAAAGACTGAAGACACCGGGAGGGGGGGGCCTCTTTCACGACCTGCCAGGATCTTCTTTTTCTGTGGACACACAGCAAGAGCCACCCAGGGCAGCCCAGAGGTCCGCGGAGCTGGGGAGTCCTCTGCCAAGACAGTCCCCAAATGACCCAGCTTTCCCTCCAAGGTCAGAGAAATCCCTGTGCCTCCAAGTAGCCTGTTGCTCATCTCCGCACGAAATATGTTCAATCTATCAACCATTTCCTTTTTGTCCCACATCTGAGGGGGAAAAAATGAACAAATTCATTCAGTTCGCCACTTGCTACATAAGAAAATTAGTTCTAAGTTTTTGTTTTTTTATGTGGTGCTGGGGAATGAACCCAGGGCCTCACGTGTGTTAGGCAAGCGCTCTACCACTAACACACAACCCCAGCCCGATTTCTAATTTTTTTAATATTTATTTTTTTTTTTAGTTTTAGGTGAACACAATATCTTTATTTTGTTTCTATGAGGTGCTGAGAATCAAACCCAGTGCCTCACGCATGCTAGGCGAGCACACTACCACTTGAGCTACATCCCAGCCCCCAATTTCTAAATTTTTAAGAAATTTATGTTACCTTAGACAGTGATAGGGACCTGAAGTCATCCAAGCAATATTGGGTGTTTCTTCTTCCAGTGAAGAAACTGTTTTGTTTTTTCAGTGCTGGGGATGAACCTAGGGCCTTGTGCACGCTGTGTAAGTGCTTCACCATTGAGTGACACCCCAGCCCTCATGTTTGTGTATTAACAAGTAAAGGTAGACATGATACACTGAGAAGTGGAAAACAGCAGCCACACATCAGTATGGGTGACGATTCTGTTTTTCAATAAAAGTATTCCATCTGTATATAGTCAGCCCTCCACATCTGTGACCAGTTCCTCATCCACAGATTCAACCAACCACGAATGGAAAACATTCAGGAAAAAAATGTCTGTGTCTTGAACATGTGCAGGCTTTTTTTTGCCTTGTCACAATTCTCTAAACAATGTAGCTTAAAAGCAATTCACATGTCTTCACATCATGCTAGGTATTATAGGTCACCTAGAGATGACTGAAAGTCTACAGGAGGATGTGTAGGTTATACGCAAATTTTTTGCCTGTGTGTGCGCGTGCACGTGTGATACTGGGAAGTGAACCCAGGAGCATTCTACCTCAGAGCTACATCCCCAGCCCTTTTGTTAAAAAAAAAAAAAGTATTTTAAGACAGGGTATTGCTAAGTTGCCAAGGTTGGCCTCGAACATGTGATCCTCCATCCAGCCTCCCAAGTTACTGGGAGGCTATAGGAATGCGCCACTGTGCCCAGTTACTTTGCCATTTTATATAAGGAACTTGAGCATCCAAAGACTTCGGTGTCTGCTGTGTGTCTGACTAGCTCTGGAGTCAATCTCCTTGTACAAGGAAAAAGTCCGGAAGAAGTAGTGCACTGAGGTGGCTTTCTTGTTTTTTTTACAGTTGGAACATCATCTATGTTTGTGCTATATGTTAATGTTGGGGAAACTGGGGAAAGGGCAGACAGAACTCCCAAAACTACTTTTGCAAACTTGTCGATAGGCCCCAAATTATTTCAAAATGAAAAGCATCTTAAAAGTAAGCAAGGGGGTTGGGGCTGTAGCTCAGTGGCAGAGCGCTTGCCTTGCACGTGTGAGGTACTGGGTTCAATCCTCAGCACCACATAAAAATAAACAAATAAAATAAAGGCACGCTGTCCATCTACAATTACCAAAAAAAAAAAAAGCAAGGACACCAGGCACAGAGATTCACCCAGGAGGCTGAGGCAGGAGGATCCCAAGTTCGATGCCAGCCTAGGCAAGTTAGTAAGACCCTGCCTCAAAATAAAAAAACAAAAAGGTCAAAGAATGTAGCTCAGAAGCACCCCTGAGTTCAATCCCTAGTTAAAAAAAAAAAAAATCTGCAAAAATAATCACTGACAGCACAAACGTGTGTGATCTTTACAAATGCTAATTCGTGTGTGGGTTCAAGGCAGGTTTCCCTTAACCTGGCACCATCAGTAAACATCTGTGCCTGGATCACTCTGCACTATAGGGGACTGTCCTGGGCATTACAGAACTGTGAACGGCAGCCCTTACTTCCACCCACTAGATGCCAGTATTATCTGCTCCACACAAAATTTAAAAAATGTCTTAACAATTGTCCCCCCACCCCTTCCCAGAACCACTGCTCTAGGTGGTTCTGGTAGGTAGGTGTGTTTATTATTCCCAATTTATAAAATGGTGAAACTGAGTCACAGAGTAAATCAATCTCAATCACAAAGTGATGGGAGTTGGGATGAACCCAGATTTTTGGCTCCAGAGTGAAACTCGGCCCCACTCCAGATGGCCTTGCAGCACATCAAGCTCTCTTCAGGGGTCCTCCTGGGAGTGGCTGCACTGCTGCTCTGAAACCTGGGGTGGGGGCATCTCTAGGCAGGGGGACCCCAAGAGGCGGGTGGAAGTGCCAAAGAACTCCCACTCTATCTCATTCCCTTCTCCACAGTTTCTGTTTTTTTAATTAGGCTGTGTTAAATCATCTTTTAAGGAGCTTGGGACACTCACATTAGCATTTCTACAACAAATAAGTTCGGTGTTCGCCCTATAAGCAGACAGCAATCAAGAAGTGCCAACTTGGACTGGGGGTGCAGCTCAGTGGTGGAGCGCTTCCCCAGAGGCAGCAGGTCCTGGGTTCAACCACAACCTCTAACCCCCAAAGATCCAACTCCAGTGAACCAAATACCTGAGGTCCGAAGCTTCTTCCTCTTACTCATTTTACTTTTCCCTTGAGAAATCTGTGAACAAACGAAATCTCTCGTTGTTAACACAGTAGTCTCTGTCCCTATCCAGTGGTCCTGGCTGAGGGCAGAGCCTTCCCCACCACCACCCAGGCCCATCTGGCTGCCCCCACAGGTCAGCTGAGTCCCAGCAGGACACAGGGTTACAGTCACCCTGGGCCACACTGGTTGGAAAGGGCATCCTCCAGGGAAGCCCTGCGGCCCCAGCTCTTGTCCCTACGTGGGAGCATGCTGGGAACTTGCTGGGAACCTCCTTCCCTGCCCTAGGCTGTGGCCCTTTGAGGCACACGGGGAGACCTTGGAGAAGCCACTGTGGGCCTACAAGGCCACATGGGAACTTCTGGGGCCCTGAGGGGATGCTGGGGCTTTGGAGGGACAGCAGTGGACAGAGGCCAATTGCTTGCAGCCTTGGGGGCCAGGCAGGCCGAAACCGACCTGCGCCACCGATGTCGTCCAAGTCCCTCTGTGTAGCAGGAACGGCGTCTGCCTGGACCTGCTGGGGAATAGGCGCCTGGATTATTTGCGTTACGTTGATTTCTTTAGTTCTCCATCCCCCAAGCAAATGGCCACACTGGCCCTCAAGGCGACCTGGTGGCCTGGAATCTGAAGCAGGGGGATCTGGACGCCGGAGGCCTGGGTCCTGGGCACAGTGGCCCCGGCTCCCCGAGACTTGCCCCACAATAACACTACTTCTGCCACCAAAAAGTGAGGAGCTCTGGCTGCAGGACTTTTAAGAATCACAGGGCCGCCTGCGCCCCTCAAACCTGCGCGCGCCCTACCTCTTTTCCCGCGCCCCACGAGGCCCCGCCCCGCGCGTGCGCATTATCAGAACCCAACACCAGCGCATGCTCCGCCTCCTTTCCGAGCCGCGGAGGCAAGATCCTCCGCTCTCCGCCAGGCGCATGCGCGCCCGCGCGCCCGCGCACTGCCTGCCGGGAATTGTAGTTTCGGTGAGGCGGGCCCGGCTAGTCCAGTGGCCGCGCTCCGGTGTCGCGGCCCCAGAAGGCCGAGGCGGAAGTGGAACGGCCACCCCGGGTAGCGAGGGCGCGGGGTTAGCGGGCGCGGGGTGCCGAGGAGGGGCTCGGGGCTCAGGAAGGGCGCGTGCGCGGCGACAGTCTCCGGGGGAAGAGGCAGGGCAAGGCTAGGTGCCGGGGGGCTGGTGGTCGGGGCATCCAGTCTGGAAGATGCACAAGAGGAAGGGACCCCCGGGACCCCCAGGCCGAGGCGCCGCCGCCGCCCGCCAGGTGAGTCTGCGCCCCACGGCCCCGGCGGGGGAGCCCCTCCCCACCCGGTCACACGCTCAGGGGAGGGCCCCACCCCCCAGGGAAGCCCCATCTCCGCCTCCTAGGTGAGCCCGGGTCCCTGCCCCCAGGTAAGGCCTGAACCCCCGAAGTAGGGCCTGCTGGCGTTGCACCCCCCACCCCCGACTCGTGGCTCTCCACCCCTTGTTCAGGGCCACCTGTTGCCGCAACAGCTCCAATCAGGGAGGGGCAGCAGTCAGACCGCCTCATCAAACCCTTGCATCAGCCTGTTCAGGTCACGCTCTTTATTCCCATTGTAAGGATGAGCACACTAAGGCCCAGAGAGGTGAAGACACCTATCCAAGGTCATAGGGATCAGCAGCCTGGCCAGCACCAGGTGCACATTCAGAGCTACATCCCTTATCCCACCCCTTATCCCACAGGACTGTGACTTGGCCCTTTCCTCCCTGCCCCAGACACCTGGAGGAGTTTGACTTATCCTAGCTTTGATGGGGGAGCCCAGGGCATGGCCAAGTGCTCAGCTATTAGAGTCCAACCTGAAGTTCCCTCCTGGCGCCTACACAGCTTAACTTCACAGCTCTGAGTCATAGTTCTCTCATCTGTAAAATGGAGACCCAGAAGAGTCCCTGTTTCACAGGACAGTCCTGAAGATTCATTGGCATAGTTTATGGAAAGTGCTAGAACATAGCACTCAATAAATGTTATCACTATCATTATTCCTAGAAGATAGAACATATGTAATTGCCAACATTTGGCTGATTTTGACCTACATCTAGGCAGTTTCATACCCCTAGTATCATGTCGTGATTGGTCGTTCACCAGAATGGGAAGAGAGGTGTATGTGGCCAAGGCCCACTTTGAACTTCGACTGTGTTGCCAGAGCTTCTAATTGCTCTTGATGCCCCAACCTTCCTGCACAGCCCCCTCGGGGTTTGGAGGCTGCTGGAAGGAAAAGCTCAGGTGTGCAGAGTGGCTTTGCTTAGGGCAAGGTGTGCGGTCTGCTTCCCTTGGTGAACTTGAGTAGCCGCACATCTCAGATGCAGGTTCAGAGAACAAAACTAGGTCTCTCCACCTGCCCTTTGCCTCATTTGATCTGTGCCAAAGGGCTAGGCCCATCTTGGGACACCTGTTGCAGTCTGGACCTGCTGGCACTCCCCAGGGAATGGCTTGTCCAGGAAGACCTTGTTTTCTTCCTTCCCTGGGGACTCTGGGTTCATCCTGGCTGCCTCTGGCCAAGCAGGACAGCCCAAGGGCTGATTGGACCCTTGTTGTTCCCACAGCTTGGCCTGCTGGTCGACCTCTCTCCAGATGGCTTAATGATCCCCGAGGATGGAGTGAACCATGAGGAACTAGAGACTGAGTTGTTGGCCTTGGTGGGGGGTCAGCCCCCAGCCCTAGAGAAGCTCAGAGGCAAAGGTAAGATGCTTAACATACTTCTGAACATTTTTGGATCTCCTCCTGTGGGATGAGCTTGGAGCTGGGCACTGGGTAGACAGGGGAAGGAAAACAGAGGGAGTTCCCTCCTGGAGCGCACGGTCTGAGAGAGGAAGCAATCAACTCTGGACACAGACTGAGGATGTGAATCCCAGCACTTACCCATCATGTCACCTGTGCTGGCCTTGGTTTTCCCATCTGTAAAATGGGAATAGTACTTGTTTACATCATAGGAGTCAATCTAGGGCTCGTAAGGCCCTTCCCAAGAGCTGACTGACACATAATACACCTGTATTATCATCAGTCCCAACCTCTAACTTTCTGTCCCATGATTCGGGTGGGGTGGGGGAAGCACAGAGCTGTGGAGAGATCTGTGAGTTGGGGTGGAATTCCTGCAGGAACCACTTACCAACAGCCAGGTGATGAGTTAGCCATGTTTCCAGGAGGGGTCACAGCAGGTGCAAAGGCCATGGGGTAGGTGGGGGGGCGGGGGCAGAGGACTCTGCAGTGGTTGAGTCGAGTTGGAACCTCGAGGCTAAAAAAGCCTTCAGACGTTTTAGCTGCTAGTCAGTCCTTGTTCCGTGTGGGTCTCATCTTTATGGATCTGCCTCCTCGCTACAATGCATTTGATTTGGGGACCCTCAAGAGTGGTAAGAAAGTTGGAGCCCCTTACAAAGAAGCAGGAGCAAAGCGGTGCTCAGCTTTCGTGTTCCGGCTCTTACGTCGTAAACGATGGTCCTTCCTGGTCTGTTCAGTGCCACGCTTTTCTCATTTTCCTGCTTTTTGTTGGTGATTTCACTGTTCAAAATGGTCCCAGGCCAAGCGCTGGTGTCAGGTCCTAGGAGTACAGAGGACTGTGAGGTGACTTGCAGCGAGAAACCTCACTCAGGTGCGAGTTCACGTTCTGTTCTCTGGCCGCGTGTCCAGTGTTCACTAATCAGCACGGATATTCAGCAAGGTGTCTTCAAACGGAAGCACCCAAAGCAAAGTTGGGTATTGATCACTTAGTAAAAATGTTGTGCCAGGGGCTGGGGCTGGGGCTCAGTGGTAGAGGCCCTGGGTCCATCCTCAGCACCACATAAAAATAAGTAAGTAAAATCAAGATGTTGTTAAAATAAATATCTGTTAAAATTATGTTGTGCCTAGACGCTCACAGGGACCTGACCCCGCATCTCATGTCCCACAATGAGCTGACATCCACCAGCTCAGCCTCCTAGGCCGCTTTCTCGAGCAGAGCTATTCTGAGTAATGGGCATAAGGTGAATAATAAGAGACCAGGGGTGCAGTCGTCCCCCCGATTCATGGTTTTTCTTCTGTGGTTTCAATTACCCACAGTCAATCACAGTTGACTGGAAATAGTTAATGGAAGATTCCAGAAACAAACAATTCATAAGCCAAATTGCACGGTGTCCTAATTAGTGTGATGAAATCTCCCAGCATCCTGTCCAAGGTGTGAATCATCCCTTGGTCCAGTGTGTCCACACTGTGTGTGCTGCCCGCCCATGATCACTGAGCAGCCATCTGGATTGTCAGGTCCACTGTCTCGGGAGCACAGTGCTTGTGTTTGAGTGACCCTCACTGCCCTTGATGGCCCCAAAGCACAAGAGTACTGATACAAAGCAGGCATGAGGGCACAGCCCATGGAAGGACAGAAGTTTTGGTGCTAACGTGGCAATGCTCAGGGCATATAGGAAAATACTTAGTAGGTAGAGGGTTTGGTGTTATCCGTGGTTTCGGACGTCACAGGTGGCCTGGGAGTGTGTTCTCTGTGGTTCGTTCTAAGACCTTCGTTTACCTTTAGTCCCCACAATCTACCCGCGCAGAAGGAGCTGTTATCCCTGGGTAATAGATGGGGAAACTCTAGCCCAGAGAGGTGAGGTGACTTGCCCAAGGTCACACAGGGAGAACATTGCAGAGCTGGGATTTGAACTCAGGTAGCCTGGCCCCAGAACTGAGCTGGATGAAGAAGACATGAGTCCAGGGAGGTTGGTGTGGCAGGAGGGTGGCATCGTGCAGGGAGGGCTCGAGGACACTGGGATGCCGTGAAGGGCAGGAAAGGCACCTGCTGCCCTGCTGCTGACCTCTGTGCCCCCAGGGCCTGGGTGTCTGAGATGGGAGGCTGGGGACCTTAGGGGACAATGGTTTAGCGGAGGCCTCCTGCCACCAGGTCCCCTGCCCATGGAGGCCATTGAGAAGATGGCCAGGTTGTGTATGCAAGACCCAGATGAGGAGGAGGAGGAGGGGACAGACGACGATGACGTGGAGGCCGACGACGCGCTGCTGGTGAGCACCGAGCCCGGGAAGGCCTCTCCCTGACCCCGTTCAGCGGCTGCATGTCCACCCTGGCTGTCTCCCACAGGCGGAGCTAAACGAGGTCCTCGGGGAAGACGAGAATGTGCTAGAGCCCCCGCCACCTGTGGCCCAGGTACAGCTCCCTCGAGCCCCCCCTCGGTCTGAGTCAAGGCTCACCGGTGGCCATTTCAGCCACGTGACCTGACAGGCAACAGAAACCTCTGCGCCCAAGTTCTCCCTATGGAGACCCTGATCTCTGCCCTCCTGGGTGGGGGAGGCTGGCCAAGGGGACGTGTGTCAGTGCCAGGAAGGGTCGAGGGGAAGCCGAGGAGGGTCACCACCCAGACTGTGCCCCCCCCCCCCCCCCCGCAGCTGAAGCCCTCGGCCCCCCACCTGGGGCTGGAGGCCACCCTGCAGGAGCGCCTGGCCCTCTACCAGTCAGCCATCGAAAGCGCCAGGCAAGCTGGGGACAGCGCCAAGACACGGCGCTATGACCGGGGGCTCAAGGTGAGTGGGCGGGCAGGTCTGGGACAAGCCCTAGCACCAGGCTCTGGCCCCTGACCCTGCCCATGCCTCACCCCAGACGCTGGAAAACCTGCTGGCCTCCGTCCGGAAGGGCAATGCCATCGATGAAGGGGACATCCCGCCACCTGTGGCTGTAGGAAAGGGCCCAGCAGCTACACCCAGCCACATGCCTGCACCTCCCCCGCTGGTCCCCACAAACCCGCCCACCCCGGAACCCAGGGTCACCCGGGAGAGCCCTCCTGCCTCCGCCCCAGGCTCGGCTAAGCCCCGGCTGCCCCCAGGTAGGCCGTGGGCAGGGCCAGGGAGCACCTGGTTGGGGGGGCTGTGTGTAGGCCCCCTCCTATGCGCAGAGTGCGTCCTTCCACACCGTGACTGTCATTCAGCCTTCAAAGGAAGGTGGTTCTGGTGTGGGCTGTGATGGGGTGCACCGTGAGGACAGTGTGCTGAGGTCAGTCACAGAGAGCAGGCACCCGGAGTCCATGCTTGGGAGGCCCCTGGCGGAGTCCTAGGGATAGAGATGGGATGCGGAATGGTGTCTGCCAGATGGGCACGGAGACACAGTGGTTAATGGGATCAGAGTTTCAGTTGGGAAGATGAGAAGGTTCTGGAGATGGGCGGCCGTGATGGTTGCACAGTGTGACCACAGTTGACACCACTGACTTTTATACTTAAAAATGGTTTCAAGTGGGCATGGTGATGCCGCCCGTAAGCCAGCTACTCAGGAGGCTGAGGCAGGAGGATTGCAAGTTTGAGGCCAGCCTTGGCAATTAGTGAGATCCTGTGTCCAAAAAACAAGGTGGGGGTGGGGGGCTGGGGATGTGGCCCAGTGATAGAGTGCCCTTGGGTTCCATCCCTAACACCACGCAGACACACACACAAGAGGTTAAAATGGAAGATGGCAAATTTTGTGTTATGTCTATTTTACCACAGTTATTTTAAGATTTATATATCTTCATGTTTTAAATTTTATTTTATTTCATTTATATATTTTCAAGGAAGGGACAGGTATCTGGCACTGAACCCTGGAGCTGTTACTACTGAGCCACATCCCCAGCCTGTGTTTTTTATTTTTTAATTTTGAGACAGGTCTCACTAAGTTGCTTAGGGCCTTACTAAGTTGCTGAGGCTGGCTTTGGACTTTTGATCCTCCTGCCTCAGCCTCCCGAACTCCTGAGATTCTAGGTGTGCGCCACTGCTCCCAGTAAAATATTTTAAAATAGACAAAATAAGTGAATGTTGGTGAGTTTGAAATCACTAAGGTTGTCACATATATTAGATTTAAAAGAATGGTGTTGGGTCTGGGGATGTAGCTCAGTGATAGAGTGTGTGCTTAACATGTGTGAGGCCCTGGGTTCCATACCCAGAACCATTTCTAAATGTCAGTATTTGTAAGATGCTAGGTGTAAGAACCTTGTATACTTTTTAAAAGAAATATTTTTAGTTGTAGATAGGCACTTTATTTATTTCTATGTGGTGCTGAAGATCGAACGCAGTGCCTCACACATGCTAGGCAAGTGCTCTGCCGCTGACTACAGCCCCAGCCCCCCTTGTATACTTGTTAAACTTAAGATTTAAAAAAAAAATGAGCCAGGTGCGGTGGCCCACGCCTGTAATCCCAGAGGCTTGGGAGGCTGAGGTAGGAGGATCGTGAGTTCAAAGCCAGCCTCAGCAACTTAGCAAGGCCCTAAGCAACTCAGTGAGACCCTGTCTCCAAATAAAATACAAATAGGGCTGAGGATGTGGCTTAGTGGCTGAGTGCCCCTGAGTTCAATCCCCAGTGCCAAAAAAAAAAAAAAAAGATTCAAAAATGAGAGATGTCAAAAATGTGAGCATTCATAAATTTTCTAGAATTCTCTTGGGGACAAAACTACAGTGGCTGTACAGCCTTCTGGGCCTGGGGTTGATCCCACGTCTCTCCAGGACGCGTGCTCTTGGGGAGGCAGCGTCCCTCTCAGAGCCTCAGTTTAGGCAGCTGTAAAGGGGCCGTGACAGTCGTGGCCGTGGGTGAGCCCAGGCCCGCGGCTTCTGGTGCTCTGTTCTCTCCTTCAGGCCCCTGCAGCCCTGGCCCCCTGGCCCAGCTGCAGAGCCGCCAGCACGAGTACAAGCTGGCCGCCCTTCACGCCAAGCAGCAGGGAGACACAGCTGCCGCCACCAGACACTTCCGTGTGGCCAAGGTGCGTCCCACCTGACAGTGGGGGAGGGGAGGGCAGGGTGCTTCCTTGCGGAGTCAGGCGACCACGTTTGAGTGCTGCTTGGCCACTGGCCGGCCCTGTTTGCTGTACCCGTGGAGCCTCTGGTTACCTGCTCTGTAAGGGCAGGGGCACTGCAGGAGGATCCAGAGGATGGCGCAAGGAGGGGCTGGAGCCCAGACACCTCTGTTGTGTGGCAGGGCCTGGGGGTCCCCCTGCAGCCTCTCCCCTGATCCCCCCTTCCTTCTCCCAGAGCTTCGATGCCGTGTTGGAGGCCCTGAGCCGAGGGGAGCCCGTGGACCTGTCCCGCCTGCCCCCTCCACCTGGTGAGGACCCACCGAGCCCACCCTCTGGGTCAGCCTGATGCTGCTGCCTGTTACTCAGTCCCACCAGCCTGGGTGGGGGTCAGGGTTGTCAAGCAGGCCTCTTGTTGGACTGGACCTCTCTGTCCCCAGACCAGCTGCCCCCAGACCCACCGTCACCAACACCGCCGCCCCCAGCTCCTGCCACAGCACCCACCACGCCAGGTAGGCTGCGGGGGCCCTCGGGTGGGCAGGCCAGCGCAAGACCAGCTCCTGTTCCCTGGACCCTTAATCTGCCCCCCACCCTGTCCGGCCCAGAGGCTCCCCCGCCCCCGCGGACCCTCCTGGAGGCCCTGGAGCAGCGGATGGAGCGATACCATGTAGCTGCGGCCCAGGCCAAGGCCAAGGGTGACCAGCGGAAGGCCCGCATGCATGAGCGCATTGTCAAGGTGCGTGGGGGACGGTGGGCAGCCCCGGGGACCTCGCTCGGCGCCCTGACACCTGTGTGTCCCACAGCAATACCAAGATGCGATCCGAGCCCACAAGGCGGGCCGAGCCGTGGACGTGGCTGAGCTGCCGGTGCCCCCAGGTAGGCTCCGCAGCCTCTGAGCCTTCGCGGGCTGTGTCCCGTCTCCTGGCGCAGGGAGCCGGCAGCCAGCCACACTTGGGGACCTCTGCAAGCCTGGTTCAGAGGGTGGGCCAGAGTCTGTCCTGACAGAAGCGTTTGCCAGGGAGATTGGCCAGCGCTGGAGATGGGGCGTCTGGACACCGCCCCCTGCCCACTGCCGTGCCCCCCTCCTGCCTTCCCAGTCGCCAGGCGCTGGCTGTCCACCCACTTGGCTCTCCCCAGCCCCAAGGGCCAGGAGCCTCTTCAGTTGTCAGAGCTGCTGCGGGCCCCCATGAGGGGGGCCATCTGTCCCCATCTTAGGCCCCCCTTATCCTGGAGGCCTCCAGCCAGATCACCCCCAGTGTCCCGCACACCTCCTCCCAGAGGACACCCCAGGACCTGCTTCTTGGAGTCCCGTGGAGTCCTGGGGCCTGGGAAGGGAGGCCGCTGGGCCGAGGGTGGCTGGTCCCGCACAGGCCCGGCAGCAGCTCCTTCCTTGGCTTCAGAGTAGACCCCAGGCCCGGGCTCCTCAGGTGGGGACCCGTGTCCACCCCACTCACCGCGCCTCCACCGGCCGGGCAGGCTTTCCTCCCATCCAGGGCCTGGAGGCCAGTGAGCCTGCCCAGCAGAGCCTGGTGGGGGTCCTGGAGACGGCCATGAAGCTGGCCAGCCAGGACGAAGGCCCGGAGGACGAGGAGGATGAGGCCCTGAGGAAGGTGAGAGGCTGAGGCAGGGGGTGGCAGGGGGCAAGTCCTGGGAGTCCCAGCCGTGACCTGCTTCACGCCCTGTGCCCCCACTTCCTGGCCGTGGGCAGGCCATTCTGCTCTGAGCCTCGGTCCCCTCAGCTGGACGGTGGGCATGGCCAGAATCCCTGCCTCCAGGGCTGCTGAGGACCCCCAGGCGCCAGGTCGTGGGTGTTAAACGCCAGGTCCTTGCTGGTGTTGGCCGGCCTGGGAGTGGCTCTGACGGCCCTGGAAGCTCACTTCTGTCCCCCTCAGCAGCAAGACGGCTCCTCGGCCCCGGTGGCCCAGCCCAAGGCCCCGCCCCCAAAGGCCCCCCCATCAGGATCAGCACCAACAGCCAAAGCAGCCCCCAAAGCCCCGTCCACCAGAGGTGAGCGCCCCTCCCTGCCCGGCTGCCTGCTCGTGGCCCTCCGGCGCCCCACAGAGGTTCTCTGCCCACAGCCCAGCAGCAGCTGGCCTTCCTGGAGGGCCGCAAGAAGCAACTCCTGCAGGCCGCTCTGCGCGCCAAGCAGAAGAACGACGTGGAGGGTGCCAAGATGCACCTGCGCCAGGCCAAGGGGCTGGAGCCCATGCTGGAGGCCTCCCGCAACGGACTGCCCGTGGACATCACCAAGGTGAACCCTCCAGGCCCAGGGGAACCACCCAGGCGTCCACTGGTCAGGCTGCAGCCCCTTGGCAGCTGTGGGATCTGGATGTATTAGTTAGGGTCGAGGTTAAGCTGCTGTAACAAATAGGCCACCCCAAGGTAGCCGCCAGAGTGAGGCAGACATGGTTCTTGCATAGAACCCTCAGCGCAGGCGGAGCCCTAAACAAGAGGGCCTCCAGGACCCGGCCTCCGTCCCTCTTGTTGCTCTGCCCCACGCCGGGGACACATGATCCAAGTGACTCACTGCCCTCCAGCCTCCAGCCCTTGGGAAGCAGTGAGAGAAAAAGGCAGAGCAGTTTCCTGTAAGGAAGTGACATCACCTTTGCTTGTCTCCCAATGGCCAGGATTGTCCCATGGCCACACCTAGCTGCAAAGGAGCCTGGGACATGTAGTCTCCTGCTGAGTTACTGTGTGCCTGACCCCTGTACCAGGCAAGGGGGTCCCATGTGGGGGGGCAGTTAATGGACTCGCCACCCCAGGAAGGACTGCTCGCTCTGCTCTGAGCATCATTTCCCTCCTTGGGGAAGTGGGGACAGTGACTCCTGCCTTCGGGTCAGCCAGGACTCCTTGGCCATGAAACAGCAACCGCAGTGGAAAATATTTACGGAGCTCATACCAGGTGTCCAGCCCTACGCTGGGCACGGGGACAGAGCTTTGAGCAGCCAGACGAAAGTCCCCACCTCGTGGAGCCGCTGTCCTAGTAGGGAGACCACAGGAGCACACAATAAGTACAGGCCCCCTACTGTGGCCCGAGAGACCCTGCGTGATATGCCCTGTCACCTCCCTCCCCGTCTCTTCCACCTGCTGCTTCGCTCCTGTTCTCCAGCTGTCACTCCCATTCAGACACACTCCAGTCTTGGGGCCTTTGCACATGCTGTCCTCTCCCTGGAATGTGCCCTGCCCCGCCCCGCTTGGCTCACTGCTGCCTCTTGAAGACTCTTGAAGTTTCCAGAAGGCTGCTCCCACCTCCCATCCAAAATCCCTCCCTTTAACCAGAACCCCTGCTCTTCCTCTCAGCGTCATCCTTCCTGCTCTCTGTTACTGCATCTCGAGGTCTGTGTTCCCCAGACAATGTCAGTCTCCTGCTGAGTCAGAGATTTTAGTCTCTCTTATTCACTGCTTCGTCCCCAGCCCCAGAGCGGGGCCTGCACACAGTAGGGGCTCTGTAAAGATGGCTTGGATGACAGGGACAGCTTCATTGTGTCAGCGGAAGGGCAATGTGGCCAGTCCAGAGGGAGGGGGTGCAGCAGCAGGCAAGGGTGGCCTCCAGAGTGGAGTGAGAGCCTGCAGAGCCCTCCGTGGGCATGCTGTGGCCAGCACAGGCCTGTCCCCATGAGCCTCTCTCCCTAGGTGCCGCCTGCTCCTGTCAACAAGGACGACTTTGTCCTGGTCCAGCGGCCCGGCCCAGGCCTGTCTCAGGAGGCCGCCCGGCGCTATGGCGAGCTCACCAAGCTGATCAGGCAGCAGCACGAGGTGAGGCCCGGCCTGGCCAGCCCACACGGCCTGCGGCCCCCTGCCCAGCCTGCGCCCCCCCGCCCGGCCTCACTGCCTCTGTTCTTGTAGATGTGTCTGAACCACTCGAACCAGTTCACCCACCTGGGCAACATCGCCGAGGCCAGCAAGTAAGTGCACAGCTCCTGCCAGGCCATCGAGCCCCGGCCCTGGGCTGAGATTGGGCCTGAGCAGGGCCTCTCGCCGGCAGGTTTGAGAAACTGGCAGAGGGCTGCAAGCAGAGCATGGAGACTCTGAAGCAGGCCTTCGCCCGAGGTCTCCCAACGCCCGCCGCCCGCTTCGAGCAGAGAACATTTAACATCATCAAGTAAGGCCCCTGGTGTCCCCACCTGGGACACCCCTGGGGAGGAACTTGCCCCCTGGAAGCTGGTTTAGAACTCAGCTCTGGAAGAGTTTGGCGGGAAGGGGAGAGCACAGAACATGCAAAGACCCTGGGGCAGGCACAAGGTGCCAGTGAAGGGCTGTGGGGGGTGACAGGCACTTTCGCTGACACGTGTGGCATAAAGATGTACCTTGCCCCAGTGGGGTAAGTGAGCTCACAGGAGACCCCACATGTTGTGGCTTGGGTGCTATTGGTCGTGGCCCCTGTTAAGTCCTCCTGCCCCTGAGGGACGGTGCCATTTCCCCACTGACTATATGAGGTTAGGCTTGGCCACTGAGCCTCGGGGTTCCTGCCACACTGGGAGAGCCCACCCCTGTCTCCCTGTCACCTCACCTCTGCCTCTCACCTGTCCCCCTCCCAGAGCTCTGTGGCTCTCTCTCTGGGTCCCTCCCCCACACCACGCCTGCGACGGCCCAGGGCCTTCACACCAGCTGCTGCCTCTGCCCAGGCCTCGGGGTCCTCCTTGATATCCAGTGTCCTTATACTGTCACCGCCCCTGGGAGCCCTCCTTGGTCACCCTGTATAGAGCAGCCCCTCCCGAGTGAGCTCTGCTCTGTCCCCTGTTTGGAGTCTTGAATTCTCTGGTTCTGTCATTGTGTTCACTGGGCATCTGTCCACTCAGTTAGTCAGACCCCCCCCCCCAGGGATGGGGGTCTGTCTCCTTTACTTCTTTGCTCCCAGTAGCTAGGGCACTACTTGACACATGGTAGGACTCAAGAAATAGTAAGTGCAGGGCTGGGGCTGGGGCTCAGTGGTAGAGCGCTTGCCTAGCACATGCAAGGTGCTGGATTCGATTCTCAGCACCACGTAAAAATAAATAAAATAAAGGTATTGTGTCCAACTACAACTAAAAAAATAATAATAATAATAAGTGAAGGAAAGGTCCCGTAGCACCTAGGGCTTGGGTTAACATATAGTAGGTACTCAAAAATATTGTCACATGAAGAGAGGCCACCTAACAGCTAGGACACTGGTTAGCACATAGTTGGTACTCAAGAAATGTTAAAGGAAGGTCTCCCAGCGGCTAGCAATCTGACTGGCACATAGTAGGACTCAAGGAATATTAAGGGAAGTCTTGCAGCAGCTAAAGCATTAGCTACCGCATAGTAGGACTCAAGAAAATTAAAAGACATTTCCACAACAGCTAAGTCAGTGCTGGGGGAGTTGTAGGTGCTCAAGAAATGTTTAATGAAAGAAGGCCCAGCAGCAAGGGTGCTCAGTGGCACTCAGTAGGACTCAAGGAATATTAAGGGAACGTCTCACCTCATGTAGGGGTGCCTACTAGGTGCTCAAGAAATATTGCCCAGTGAAGAAGAGGTCCCCAACAGCAAGGACACTGGTGGGTGCATAGTGGGGAGCTCAAGAAATACTGCTAATGGAAGGGAAGGTTCCCCAACAGTAAGGGCACTGGCTGGTACATAGTAGGTACCAAATAAGTGCATGCAGACCAAAGAAAGACCCAGAAGTCGGGCAGTGGCAGAGCTGAATGGAGAACCGGTCTGTGACTCTAGAGGTGGCCAGGGCGGGGTTTTCAGTGAGGGCCACCCCGGCTGAGGTGCCTGTTTCCCGCCCGGAAGGATCTTTTCCGACCTAAGCAGCAGCGACATGCTCCTCTTCATCGTGAAGGGCGTCAACCTGCCCACGCCCCCAGGTGAGGGGTCGAGGCCGGGGCTGGGGGCAGGGACCGCCTCTCTGCCCCGCTGGAACCCTCGTTTGCCCGCAGGGCTGTCCCCCGGCGACCTGGACGTCTTTGTGCGGTTCGACTTCCCCTATCCCAATGTGGTAGGTGGGGAGCCTGGGGGGCGGGGCCCAGCCCCAGCGGGAAGTCCAAGGCCGGCCCCGAGCGCTGACCACCTTCCCGCCACGACCCAGGAGGAAGCTCAGAAAGACAAGACCAGCGTGGTCAGGAACACGGACTCGCCCGGTGAGCCAGGGCGCCCCGCCCCGCTGCCCAGGGGGCCCCTTGGTGTCCGGCCCCCAACCTCCTCCCCCTCCGCCCCCGCAGAATTCAAGGAGCAGTTCAAGCTGGGCATCAACCGCGGCCACCGCGGCTTCCGCAGGGCCATCCAGACCAAGGGCATCAAGTTCGAAGTGGTGCACAAGGGGTGAGCTGCGGGCGCAGGGCGGCGGGGGACAGGGGTGGCGCGGCCCTGAACCCACCGTCCGGCTCCCGCCCGCAGGGGGCTGTTCAAGACCGACCGCGTGCTGGGGACAGCCCAGCTGAAGCTGGACGCCTTGGAGACAGCCTGCGAGGTCCGGGAGGTCCTCGAGGTGAGGGGGGCCTTTTCTGAGACACCCAAAGTCCCTCCTCCCAGGCCTCGCCACTGCCCGGCCGCGTGCACCCAGGACCGCTGCCCCACGGACAGCTGTGCCGCGTCCCCGGGCAATGTCGTGGGAATGGCCCTGGTTCTCCCAGGTCCTGGCCCTGGTCCCCCAGCCCTGCCTACTTCCCACCGCCAGTGTCCCCTCACTCCACCCAGGTCCTTGACGGTCGCCGGCCCACGGGGGGGCGGCTAGAGGTGATGGTCCGGATCCGGGAGCCGCTGACCACTCAGCAGTTGGAGACGACGACTGAGAGGTGGCTGGTGATCGACCCCGTGCCAGCGGCTGTGCCCACAGTGAGACGCTGCCCGCCGGCACCCAGGGAGGGGGGCTTTGCTCAGGGGACTCAAGACTCACAGGACTCTGTCCTCTGCAGCAGGTCACTGGGCCTAAAGGGAGGGCACCGCCCATTCCTGCCCCCTCGAGGGAGCCAGGGAACAGGTAGGTGGCTTCATCTCAGTCCCTCCTGGACAGTCCCCATCAGGCATAGATTGGACCGTGTCCCTGTCCTGTTTCAACACCTTTCCTAGCACCCTTGTTCTGGAGGATCCAGTTTAAACTCCTCCCTTGATATTTAAGACCTTCTGCCATCTGACCATTGCTGGAATATCCCGGCTTCTCTATCCCACTCCCTCCTGTTGGAGGCCATGTCTGGTTCTCCCTGGCCTCTGAGCTCCTGTGTTCTGGTGCCCTTAGCACCATACCCCTGCCCGCCCTTGCCTCCTCGTCTTCTGCCCAAGTCTGCCTCCTCCCTTGGGTCCCAACTTGGCCGCTGACTCCTGCAGGAACCCATCCTGACACAGTGGCCTAGGTGTGCGGTCATCTTCCAGCCTGGCTGTGAGCCCGGCAGCACTGGGGTGGGCTTGGCGTGTGTCCCCAGTGCCTGGGGAACCCGTGGGGTAGGGTGGGGCGACCCCACATTGCCTCCCTCCCCCAGGTCGGCCCGGCCCCTGCACAGCCTCAGTGTGCTGGCCTTCGACCAGGAGCGATTGGAACGGAAGGTGGGTGCCGCTCTGTGGGGCTCGGGCTGGGCCCGGGGGCTGCAGATCCAGGCTGGACGCTCAAGGCACCTTCTGGGCCCTCAGATCCTGGCCCTGAGGCAGGCGCGGCGGCCGGTGCCCCCCGAGGTGGCCCAGCAGTACCAGGACATCGTGCAGCGCAGCCAGTGGCAGAGGGCACAGCTGGAGCAGGGGGGTGCCAGCGTCCGGAGGGGTAGGGCTCCAGAGGGGACAGCGGGCAACAGGGGCTTGGGGACGGGTATCTGGAGGGACAGGGGCGCGGGGTGCAGGGCATGGAGTGGGCACCCAGATGCCCCAAGGTTAGCGGCTTGGGGCAGACAGGTGGGGGGCCAGCCTGCACCCTGAGCCCCCCACGATCTGCAGAGTATGCGGCCCAGCTGGAGCGCCAGCTGCAGTTCTACACCGAGGCCGCCCGGCGCCTGGGCAACGACGGCAGCAGGGTGAGCTGGGCAGCGGGGTGGGCTGGGCAGCGGGGAGGGCTGGGCGGGGGGAGGGCTGGGGGATAGGACTGCCCACTGACCGCCCATCCCCCAGGATGCTGCCAAGGAGGCGCTGTACCGGCGGAACCTGGTCGAGAACGAGGTGAGTGCCCCGCGGGCCGGGTGGGCACCGGGTGCCATGGCGGCCCTGACCCCGGCCTCTCCCCCAGCTGCAGCGGCTCCGCAGGTGAGGGCCTGGCGCGCGGGCAGCCAGCCCTCGGCCCCTGCTGCTGGGAAGAGCTGACCCGGCCGCCAAGCAGACAATCAGCGGACAGTACATTCCGGACTCGTCCCCCATCCAGGCCCCCAGCCCAGCTGGATGCCCCGACAGGGCCATCGGGGACAGTGCCCCTCACCCAGGCCTGGCTGGTTGGGCCCGGGGAGTCCTGTTTGCACATCCCAAGGGAGGGCGGCGGGGACCCAGCCACGAGAGCCCTGCAAGCACTTTACTTCCTGTCCCCCAGCCTCAGCCCCTCAGCCCTCCCACCACACCCCAAAGAAGCCACCAAGGCCACTGAGCCCTGCGGCCCCCGGGGGTTGCACCTGCCCAGGGCCCCAGGACCGAACGTGGAATAAACAGCCAGGGTCACACCGGCTCAGCTCTCCTGTCTGTCTCTCACTCTGGCCCCGGGGCCAGGCCAGGTCTCCCATAGCCCGCACCCCACCCTGGGGAGGAACAGGCAGCCCCTGCAGGGTGCGTGACACCGCCACTTGCTGCAGTGGGCCCTGAGGGTCTGCGCATCTGCCTCCTGTTTCTGCAGCAGGTGGCCTTGTGCACTTGGGGATAAGGCTGGGTTGTGCATTGGCTGCAGGGTGACCCACTGTGTCTTAGGACCTGCTGGTCACTGGCCAGGGGACCTGAACGATTGCCCGGGCAGGGCCGTGGCGGGAAGGCAGGGGAGCGCCCCAGAAGCGCACCTGGCCCCAGGAGGGCTGGAAAGCTTCGGCTTTATTGTGCCACCTCCTTCTGGGACAGGGCGGGGGTGGTCCTCACGCTGGGAACCTGGAGGCCCGCGAGCTTCAGCCTGCGCTTCAGGCCCTCCCCGGTGGCTGTGCACGGGGCGGTACTAGCCAGTGCCTGAGCCAGCTCCCCTGAGTCCCAGGCCCCAGGTGGCCGGTATCTCTGAAGTCCACTCCCGGGGCAGCCCCAGGGGCCAGGGCGGCTCAGCTAGGTCCCTCTGGGCTCAGGCCCCCGCCGTGGCCGATGCGGTACTGTGGACGGCAGCCGGACCAGGACCTGCTCCAGGTTATCTGCCGTGTCCACCACGCGCAGGTGCGGGAGGCCCAGGAAGGCCTCGGCCGAGATGCTTGTCATGTGGAGCCTGTTGGCCCTGCACAGAGAGGCAGCCATGAGGGCAGGGGCAGGGGAGGCCACTGTGGCCAGCAGGCCGCCCCGCCCCGACCTGCACCTGAGGAAGAGGGCGCGCAGGCGGGGCGTGCCCAGGAAGGCCTCGGGGCCCACGGAGCCGATGCGGTTGCCCTGCAGATGCAGCTCCTCCAGGGCCTCGGGCAGGTCCGGGGGCACGAAGGACAGCTCGTTGTGGCTCAGGTCCAGCACCTGAGGAGGGGAGAGAGCACCGTGGCCGGTCACCCCAACCTCCACTCCCGGGGGCTCCTCCTCCTCTCCCCCGCCCCCATGGTGGCCTGTCCCTTCACTCTATGAAGGTGATCTGAGTCCCTTCCAGGGCAGGCCCTATTGTCCGTCCTGGGGGCACAGACAGTTGGGGTTCCCACTCCTGCAGCCAATCCCTGGTGGAGACGGGTGTCCCCACACCCCTCATCACTGCCTAACACTTGGGACTCTGTTGACCTTTCTAACTAGGAGGGGGACAGGAGCCGTGCCCCCTGCCCGGCTGCATCCCCAGTGGGAGGTGAAGGGCCTGGCAAGGACCAGACCTGGGTGGCACAGGGAGGTCCCAGGCTGGACCTGTGTGGCCAGCCCAGGGTCCTTCGGTGGCACCACAGGACCTTGGAATGGGGAGGCCCTGGGACAAGAGGGGGGCCCTCTGTGGCCGGCCTCCCTGACCTGCAGGGCCTGCAGCTCGTGCCAGGTGCCAGGCGCGATGTCACCCACGCGGAGTCTGTTGTGCGCCAGGCTGAGCTCCCGCAGCTGCTCGAGCCCGGCCAGGAGCTCAGGCTCCAGGGTCCGCAGCCGGTTGTGCTGCAGCCGCAGGGTGTGCAGGGCTGCGGGCAGGCCCGTGGGCAGCCGGGTCAACTGGTTGCCTGCCAGGTCCAGGCTGCGCAGGGCGCGCAGCCGGTGGAAGGCCCGGTGGTGCACATGCGCGCTGGCCAGGCGGTTGTAGGCCAGGTTGAGCTCAGTGAGGCCAGGCGTGGCGGCCAGGTCGCGGGCACCCAGCACGGCCACGTGGTTGTGAGGCATCACCAGGGCCCGCAGGCGGCGGGGCAGTGCCAGGGGCACGCGGTCCAGCCCGTTGCCGTACAGGTGCAGCGTGTGCAGGCCCCGCAGTGGCCGCAGCGCCCGGGCCGGAAGCCCCGAGGCCCCGAGCGGGTTGTGCTGCAGCAGCAGGTAGCGCAGGCCCTTGGCCCCCCGCAGCCGGGCCGCCTCCACCTGCCGGATGCGGTTTCGGCCCAGGTGCAGGACGACCAGGGTCCGGGGCAGGCCTGCGGGCACCGAGGCCAGCCGGTTGTGGGACAGGTCCAGGTACTCGAGGCTGTGCAGCTTGCTGGTGGGGGAGGGAGGTCAGCCGGCTCTGAGAGGCCCAGTCTCCCATCGGGGGACTGGGGGGTCCTGAGTCAGGTGAGCGCAGACCTCAGCTTGGGGGACGGGTTGAGGGGGGAGCAAACATGGGGCGCTCAGAGCTGTGCCAGCCTGAGGGTTAGCTGTGGGGGTGACCGGGCAGACTTCTGGGCCTGAGATGGAGCTGGGACGTTAAATCAGAAAACCTCAGTGCCGAGGAGCAGGGGACAAGGACCCCTGCCAGGAGCTCCACTGAACCCGGTATACAGTAGGCACTCATCACACGAGGCCTGGGGAAGCAGTCCTGCAGGGCGGGGGCTGAAGGCTGCAAGTGCTAGCCCCCACTGCGGCTGGAAGCTGCACCTCGAGGCTGCACCCTGCCCACCTGAAGGTCGCGGCGTCCAGGCCGCTGTCCGTGAGCAGGTTGTGCTGCAGGTACAGCTCGCGGAGCTGGGTCTGGCGGCTCAGGGCTCCTCGGGGCACCTTGGAGATGAGGTTGTTCTGGGTGAGGGAGAGGATGGGACTCAGGATCTGGGACCCAAGGCTTAGGGGAGCCACGGAAGGCTCTTGAGGAAGGGAGGGCCAAGGAGCGCGCCTTCCTGCCACTGGAATTCTGGGGTCTGTTGGGAGGGTGGAAAGCAAGGAGACAGGCACCCCCCCAGGAGAGTCGAGGGGGACGGTGGGCCACGAGGCGCAAGGGGGCACCTGCAGGTGGAGCCGCTCCAGCGAGGGGGGCAGGCTGGGCGGCAGGTAGCTGAGCCGGTTGCTGGAGAGGCTGAGGGTGGCGATGGCGTCGGAGCCGCGGAAGGCATCAGGGGGCAGGCCCGCGTTGCTCAGCTGGTTGTTGTGGAGGTACACGGACCTGAGGGGAGCCAGGCTGCGGCCACCAGCCCGCCTCGCCACCCGCAGCCCCTGTGGCCCTGCACCCCAGCTCAGGGCCGCCCACAGCACCGGGGAGTGTGAGTGTGTGTGTGTGTGAGTGTGTGAGTGTGAGTGTGTGTGAGTGTGTGTGTGTGTGAGTGTGAGTGTGTGAGTGTGTGTGTGAGTGTGAGTGTGTGAGTGTGTGTGTGAGTGTGAGTGTGAGTGTGTGTGAGTGTGAGTGTGTGAGTGTGTGTATGTGGGGGGAGTGGGAGTGTGAATGGGAGTATGTGTGTGAGTGTGTGTGAATGTGTGTATGCGTGTGATTGTGTGTGGGAGTGTGGGAGTCGGAGTGTATGTGTGTGGTTGTGAATGTGTGTTTCTGTGTGAGTGTATTGTGTGTGTGGGGGGGTGTGTGCTGGTGTGGGGAGAGAGTGTGAGGTTGTGATGTGTGTGGGTGTGAAAGTGGGAGTGAGTGGGAGTGGGAGTGCGTATGTGTGTGGGAGTGGGAGTGTGTGGGGGTGAGTGTAAGTGTGTGAGTGCACTCGCGCCTTTCCCTTGCCCAGAGGCCTCCCCGCAGCTCGCAGGCCCTGGACCCCCAGACCCCCAGTGCAGAGACCTCCCCTGCGACCCCCCAGGGCAGCCACGCCCCAGCCCCTCCCAGAGCAGGCCACGCCCCCTCAGCTCCTCCCAGGCTAAGGGCTACCTCAGTGCAGGCTTCTCCCCAAAGGTGAGCGGGAAGACCTCCGCCACTTGGTTGGCAGCCAGGTCGGCGACACGGAGGGAGCGGGGCAGGAACTGGGGGGCTGCCGAGAGCTGCGAGGGCACAGTTGCTGTCCCGGAGTCCCCCAGCCCACTCTGCCACCCCTGGCTCCCAGGTGCTGTGTGACGCCCTCCAGGCGACACCCTTGCTGGGCTGGCGCTCACCTTGTTGTGGGCCACGTAGATGTGCTGCAGCTGGGTGAGGGACTCGAAGGCTTCGTCAGGCAGGCCTGGGCGGGCGGGGGGCGGTGAGGGGACCCAGGCTGGGGGGGCAGGCTGGGGGCTGGAGACAGGCGGCTCCCCAGGCACCCGGTCCCCGCCCCCCGCCCCTCGCCCCCACTCCGAAGCCGCAGCTGCCCCGGCCCCCAAGTTTCCACTCTGCTCAGCACAGGGCATTTCTGGGAAGTGCCGCCGAGCTGCCCACAGCCCTTGGGGGGGGGGGCGGGCAGGGGCGGGGCAGCTGCGACCATGGCCCCACATGCACGGGAGGTGCTGACCCTCGGAGGAGATGAGGTTGTTGTGCACGTTGAGGGTCCGCAGGCCCCTGAGGCGGGACAGCTCGTTGTACGGGAGCTCCTGCAGCTGGTTGTTCTGGGGGGGGGGGGGCGTGGACACCGTGACCCCCAGGGCCCTTTGCTCAGCCCTGACCCCAAGCCCCCACCAGCCCAAACAAGTCCAGACACCCAGCAGCAGCACCGCACAGTCCACTCCAGTCACCCATGGCCCTGGCCACAAGCCACCCCCAAGGCCCCACTGCCCCACACCGACCACAGACAACCCAGTCCCCTCCAAGATGCGGACCCGGAAACCTCCCAGATGGGTGCCGGCCTGGCTGCTTGGAACCTGCACTCTGCCACCTCTCTGGACCTCAGTGTCCCTCTTTGGGGCACAAATACCCCATTTTTACCAATTCTTCAAAATCCCACGCCTACCAAGACCTTGACCCCCAACTCCCACCACCCATAGTCAGCCCCACATAATCCCCCACCTCTGACCCCAGGTGCCCCAGCTCTGGCCCCAGGCACCCCACTTCTGACCCTAGGAACCCCACCTCTGACCCCGGCACCCATAACCTCCACCACTGAACGCAAGCCCCAGCCCTCCCCCTCCGAGCGCCCCCACCCGACCTCCCTCACCTCCGCTGCAGACCCCCGCGGCTCAGCCTCTTCACTGCCGGGGGTGGGGGGTGGGGGGGGTGTCACTCCTGCTGGTGGCCCCCACGCCTCCGCCCGCGGCTTCCCTGTCTCCCAGCTTCTCTCCTCTCTGACCCCTGGGTCCCTC